GCAGTTTATCCCGAACACAAACATTATTCAGGCTAAGAGAAGCATCAGTATTTGCTTTTAAAGACAGACAAGCTCTCTCCATTTGCAAACTGGTTACAACACACTCTTCCAATCCAACATAATATACAGGGGGCGTTAATTAAGGTTGGGGGGATTTTAAGATCTCCATCGAGCTTAGTAAAACCATCTTGTTTACTACTTTTTCACGTGTTGATCCTTTTGTTGAATAATTAGCCCACCACACACCCACGCACACTTTCATTACAACTGCCCTCTTTTTTGCATATTAAGGCAATTCATTCTACGGTAACTATTAGGTCTCCCTACGTCTCATATTAGGCACCCAAGAACAATTTGTTCGTATTAGGCTGCATGCTGTTCTAAGCTAAGCTAAGCTCACACATATATGTAATTATATCACTTCAGAGCAGAGAGTTTTACATTGGAATGGTTCGTGTCACACTTGACAGATGTAACATCATCAGTGTATAAATATTTAATCGTAAGACATTTTGTTATCTCTTCGAAGACGCATAGCTTGAAAGCTGATCAATAAGAGATGCAAATATTAAGTATTTATTCTTGTCCGTTTGTCGCATGGAATGCACAGAATGCTTTTTTATTGTACAATAATAATGATTTCGCAAAAACAATCGCATATATACAACGGCATACTATCATATTCCGCAAATTATTTAGTCTCTCCGCATAATATGAATGATTTCGATCACCATGTTTCGACTGGTACGCTCTCCGGCTTTCTTCAGTTATATGTCAGGTCAGATTATCCAGAAGACGTGATTATAAAACATTTTCTTTCATCCTGTTTTTTTTTTTTTTTTTTTTTTTTTTCAGTTAGAATGATCGATTGCGCTCTCAATGTGACACCATATCTTGAATGTTTATTGGAACTCAAGCTTATTTAAGATATTAAGCGGAACTCGTTATATACGATCCATCGCTAAAGGGTCTGGGAAAAATGGCCGGTCCCTTGTACCGCTTCGGAAAGTACTTGACCCTAACTGCCATGCTTTGTCTGTACAAGTAACTGTGACCAAAAGCGGAGAATTTCTGACATATCTGTTGTTCGGTTCTCAATGTGCGGCCCTTGGTAGAGTTCAAAAGGTGTCTACATCGCCTTGTCCTCCACAGCCACAACCACTGCCCCACCGAAGAAACGGCGCAAGATCTTATCGCTATATCCATGGCAAATGTTCTGACGAGTTATATTCCTTAATTCTATCAATTCGGACCTTTACAGCTAGGACACGCTATGCCACGTACACAAGTTCGTATCATCCTCATTCTCTTCGTATTCTGAGATCTCTATATGTTTCCGTTACTTTTTGCAGCTAAGTCGTGTATTTTTTCATAAAAGAACGATTCCGGTATAGACTTAATTTTCTGAAAATTTAGTCTTGAAATCACTGACCGGACAATGTATGTGACTTTAAGCAAAACATGTGATAAACTGAAAGTGATAAGTTTGGGGAATATTCCGCCAATTGTAGAAGAACTTCTCATACCAGATTTAAGATCGTTTTACTGCATCGCATTTGCAACATGAAGACAGTAATGGCTATTGAGGAAAATAACTGAGGTGCTTGTGCAGAAAAGGATTTTGTTTTTTTCCTTCTGTTCCAATTCGTCATTCAAGCAAGACACCTTCACCGTTTATTACATATTGAAAAAAAATTCCTACCCCCGATTATTAAGACCTCCCTTGTATTAGATATCTAAGTGTGATTTATTGGAATCTCAATTCTACAGCCTTCTTCAGGAGCAGAAAGTGAAAGGAAAGAAATGGGGGTCTACCTTATTAGATATTTTTTGAAACTGAGACGCCGATTCCGTCAGTATATATCTCCGGAAAAAAAAAAAAAAAAAAAAACATATCCCCCCACCCATGAAAGGAAGCTAGATAGATAAATAAACAAAAATAAAATAGAAATAGAAAAAATTAAAACAAAAATAAAAACACCAGGAGTTTTTCTTTTCACTTTGTGTTTTGACACCTGAAGAAAGCCGTAGAATTAATCGTCCGAAAGACTGTGAGAAGATTCTGTTTGAAAAAGATTTTTTTTTTTCAAATGATCTGAATACACTACTCTCTTCATACGTAAAATAACCGAATCTAATTCGGGGGAAATAAAAAAAATAAAAAAAAAATAAATAAATAAAAGAACCAGTAGAAAACTGAAGTTCAACAAATTCCGAAACATATTTAATGACAGAATCTCAGCTTCTTCAACAGAACACAAACCGGTAAAACAACAAAATTCTGCTTACTCTGTGATTTCTGAGATGAGGTATTATGTACACTATTTACAACATTCAGACTTTTGTCCTCATCTTTGTCGCCATATTTATTACAACGTTTCGGCCATTGTACGCTCCGGCCTTCTTCAGGTGGTTGGAATGTCGAACTGAATCCATTATTTCGCTCACTGGGTGTAGACTGTTCTAATTCCACGTGCCATGTTTAACTGATAAATGGCATTCATTAAACATGGCACGTGGAGCTAGAACAGAAATTAACAGAAATTATTTCACGACAGCCTTTTTAAAAGGACTGCGGATCATCAGACTTTACTTTCAAACAAAAAATGAAAAGAAAATTTACACATTTTTGACAGGCCGTATTAAAAATATGTAAAAAAGGTTTAAATTTTCTTTTCATTTTTTGTTTGGAAGTAAAGTCTGATGATCCGCAGTCCTTTTAAAAGGGCTGTGGTGAAATAATTTATTACATAGAACCTTAAAGTGGTCTGTTATACATATATATATATATATATATATATATATATATATATCAAGGTAAAATGAGAACGAATAGAGTACAATTACAACATTCGTAACATTTAATTTAAAAGAGAGCTCAATACAAAGTAGAGCAATATTCTTTATTTTAGGATATTACATCAAAAACATGACAAAAACTCTACACAGCGCATCTCATTAAGCCTCATGAGATGCGTTGATTCGCATCAAAACACGACTGCAGATGTTCTGCCAGCTATTTACACAAACTCTTTAGATAAAAAATAAATAAATAAAAAATAAAAGCTTTCTCTACCTGCAGAAGAACTTGTAGCCTATATTTCAGTCGCTGTGCGTTTTGATGGACTGAAGCATTGTCATGAGTGGTCCAGGCTCTTTTTTTTATGAATGATTTTATCGAGTCACCATCTCTAGAATGGTTGCATATCAAGGCTATAGAATCCAGTCTTACTTTTTAACCCATATATGGTGGGGAGAAGAGATGGATTTTTATCGGCGCGGGGCGATACATTGTAATAGATGCGGTAGTTTAAGAAGTATGACGTACAAGTTGAGAAGTCTCAAAGAAACGATTTTAACATTTTCAAAAGGAATGAATTTCACATCCAAGAGTTTCATACATGTATTTTTCACAAAAAATAACATAGTTCACAAAAGAAGATATAGAGAAAATTATATTTAAGTGTACACAGATTACTGAAAAAAAGGAAAGAAAATATTTATATAATTAGCCGTAGTGTGCGTGTGTTTGTGATTTTCTACGTGGTTGGTTGAAATTAAGAAAACGGCTGCCCCGTCGGCGGAGAAATCCTGTTGTTTTTGTTTCTACATTATGAGGATAGGAGGAGGGTTTTCTTTCTCATCGTTTTATGGTTCTGAATAACTCCACCTAGCGAGCGTTTTGGCAGAAAAAGTAGGGGTAATTCCAACAAATTCATGCATTTCCGGAAGACATTAATGCGAAAATGAGCATAACAAGGACTAGAATTTGAACTTCGCTCTTTCCGCTAATAACCGTAATACTACATCTATTTTCTTTATTCAGTTTTATTACACAAGTGCAAAACAAAGAACGCCATTGACAAGTTTGTAAGTACAGAATAGATAAACAAAATGGAGGAAAAGGTGAGCCTTAATGCTGACATTTTTATGTCATGTTTCTTCAAAAAGTTGGCAATCAGGGATTTCACCGATTCAGTTTTCTTTTCTTATCAGTCAATTGTCATGGCATATTTGCAAAGAGAGTAGAAAAGAAGCTTGTTGCTTTCTCTACAGTTATGAATTTACATTATTTACATTGTTCGGACTATCATCCTCATCTTTGTTGCCATATTTATCGCAACGTTTCGGCGGTTGTACGCTTCGGCCTTCTTCAAGTGGTTGGAATGTCGAACTGAACCCTTTATTTCACTCACTGGGGTAGACTGTTCTAGTTCCACGTGCCATGTCTAATGGATGTCAGTTATCAGTTATCTCTTGATTAATTCCCTCTCCAAATTCTCCACCGTCTTAACTAGGTATTGAACTCACAACTCTTTGGGTCCTGTCACTGGATCTAACCAACGCCTTTATCCACTGTGCCATGTGTTCTTAGGTTTAAGGCAGTGGAGAACTTGGAGAGGGGAATTAACAGGAGATAACCGATAACTGACATCCATTAGACATGACACGTGGAACTAGAACAGTCTACCCCAGCGAGCGAAATAAGGGGTTCAGTTCGACATTCCAACCACCTGAAGAAGGCCGGAGCGTACAACGGCCGAAACGTTGTGATAAATATGGCAACAGAGATGAGGACAATAGTCTGAATAATGTAAATAGTGTACATAAAACCTCATCTCATATATATATATAGTTATGAATTTAGTTTTCTCTTTTTTAGGTTAATTATCACCAAAGACTAGAAACTCTAGTCTACGGTCTATTTACCACATAGCTTGTGGTAAGAGAGAGGAAATGGATTCATGCCTTTCCAATGATCATTTGTGTGAACGCGAACGTAAGATACGAGCCCGAAATTCGAACTCTGCTTGCCGATTCCACTTGTTCCGCCGATATCTGTACATCTTCGCTGATAACTTAGACCAACTTTAGAAGACCAAGCCTTGGGAAGTTTGTTCAGCTCAGGTTAGCGATGGATGCATTCTTTGTTGTCTTGTGGCATTCATTTTTCATTCTTCAGCTCTTCAGTCGCCATATTTATAACCTAGCAATTGCGCATGCGCTCGTAATCTGCCGCTCAAACGTGAAGGCTGGCGCCTGTGATTGTTAAACGTTTAATATTTTTTTTGTCCCGCGGCGTGTGACTCGTTACACAGCGTAGCAACCACTTGTCGACGGATGCGACGACCTGAGCTTTAAAAAAAATTCTTTCTTTCCATAGTGCTGCTGATCAGCACAATTTTCTCTATCGCAAGATTATTACTTCCCCTCGTTCTCTCTCTCTCTCTCTCTCTCTCTCTCTCTCTCTCTCTCTTGCTCTCGCTTTGTTATACTTCTCTCTTTCTCCTCCTATCTTTCTTAATATTCTACCCCCCTTTGCCGTCTTATATCTCCTTCTTTTTCCCCTGATCTTTCTCCCCGTTGCACAGCCTCTCTGTTTGTATCCCCTCTTTCTCTCTCTCTCTTTCCCTTCCTATTTTCTTTTGCTCTCGCTTTGTTTTATTTCTCTCTTTCTCCTCCTTACTATCTTTCTTAATATTCTACCTCCCCCTTTCCCTTTTTATCTCTTTCTTTTTCTCCTTCTCTTTCTCCCCGTCCCACAGCCTCTCTGTTTATATCCCCTCTTTTTCTTCCTCTGTCTCTTCCTATTTTTCTCTTGCTCACGCTTTGTTTTATTTCTCTCTTTCTCCTCTTTACTATCTTTCTTAATAATCTACTTCCTCCCTTTTCCTTCCTATCTCTCTTTCTTTTTCTCTCTCGCTTTCTCCCCCTCTCACAGTTTCTCTGTTTATATCCCTCTCTCTCTCTCTTTCTAACGTTTCTTTCTCCCTCTCACTTCCTTCCCCTCTTTTTCTTTCTTTCCTTCCTTCTTTCCTTCCTTCCTTCCCCAATATATACCTCATAAATTCAGCTGTTCCTTTTGCTTGACAACAATACATTCTGTCTTCTTACATTTCATATATAATCATTTCTTATTACTTTTCTTTATTACATTGTCTACTGGTCGGGACTAGTAAGAAAGAAAGAGGTCTTGAAGGAAATAGCAACAGAAATTCTATTCAGAATCGGGAAAAGACAACTGAAATTCAATTCCATTACGCCATCACGACTATTTCCAGAGATGTCATTACCTTGAAACTTTTTAAAAACTCGAAATCACCCCAAGCAAGGACGGTAAAGAAAATAAGACTCAAGAGGTTACTGGGTGTGAAAGAATTAGAAATAATAATGTTTCTACATTATCAAGCAGCGAGAATAACAGAAAAATAAGCAGGAAGACAGTAGATAACGATTGATATTGCATTTCAATATTTGAAGATGAAAGAATGCTGGAGGGCATGGAGCTGCAAGAGAGTTCTTTTTACAGAAGAATAATATTAACAACGGGACAGTTTGAAAAAAAAAAAAAGCAAATTTTACAAGATACCATCTCTGAAATGTTAACCTGAATAATTAAAAAACATATTTGGCTGCATCACTTTTAGCCCACATCACATAAATATATATATATATATATATATATATATATATATATATATATATATATATAATATAATTATTCAAAATTATAACATAAACAAGGAATAAATAATATTTGGTCTACTCTGTATTGAGCACTCTTTCAAGAATAATATTTTGATTATTGGAATTTATTCCGTTTATACCAATCCTATACATTCATATATATATATATATATATATTAGTTGGATTGATTGAACAGCAGTCGAGTATTTAAAACTCGATTCACACCTTCATTTATTGATTGATTCGCTATTTATTACGACTTATCTACCCGATGCATATTTAAAGCTAAAACATATTTTGGAGTGTAACGGTATATATATATATATATATATATATATATATATATATATATATATATATTGCATTAACATTTTTTAAGATAACAATGATATACAAGTCCTGCAACTCCAACATGAGTCTAGGGTTGGGCATGCTTTTCCTCGGGGTATTTACGCGTAAGTGAATGTAGCGAATTTGAGTGAAATTCGAACTCCATCGATTACACCACCCGCACATCCCGTAAATTCATTACAGTGTGAAATATCAATTTTATTTATTTTTTTTTTTTTTACTCCATCCGAACTAATTTATTCAAACTTTGCAGACGCTGATGTATCTTATGTTGTTAAGATGATGTCCGTTAATAATAAATCCTGATAGGACTTGTAAGTCTTCTTGACATGTATATAAATACATTATTGCCGCTCTCTGAAAATATGTTTAATAGATGCCGAGCATTTTTTTATGCGAATATATACGATTTCTTATTGTTTATTGATGTAATGAATATACATACACCTGGGTTCCCCCTCGCAGTAATATGATTGGCTGGTGTCAGCCATAAATACAGACTAATGTGGAGGTATAGACTACGCCTATTGTCTTCGCCTATTGCCTACGCTTATTGCCTACCACTACGACGAGGACCAGTCCATTACGGTTACCTGCTAGATTGTCCTACCCGGTTACAGTAGTCAACAACCACTTTGCTACTTCGAACAAATCTATCCCTTTCCGGGACATATCATTTATAAAAAATAGTTCGGAACCTGTTATTTCGCTAAATGCAAGATAATCAGATTTCAAATGAATTATTTATCCATTTAAAATGCTACATTTATTAGAAAATATATTCAGTCTAAATAAACTAGTCATAAAATTGATTTCAAAGTGCCGGGCATTCCAGCGTAGACCCATTTTCCTGTTACTCGGGGATTGTTGTTAGACAGAATGCAGATGTTGTTAATTTCAATTTCGTAGAAAATGTGTTATGTTCCTTTACATGTATGCATGTACATTTTAATTTAATGATAAAACTAAAAATATTTCTACAAATTTCAAAAAAAAAAAAAAAAAAAGAAAAGAAATTGTATTTATTATTGAAAAATTTCCGAAACATTCAACAAAATCTTCTAACGATCTAATGTTTCAGGGTTTAAAAAAAACTTTTTTTTTCTTGTTTCCAACTTTAAGTTTATTGCTCAGCGCAGGGTAGAGGTTGTTCAGACTGAGAGGCTAATTATTTTATTTCAAAGTTAGTTTATGCATTTACCTTAAGTTGCGAGAAGGCAGTAATACTTTTCTCCCTTCGCTCTGTTTCCATCAAAATATATATTGATAAAAGACAAAAAAAAAAAGCTTCTTATTGCTGGATACCATTCATGGTTGTTGGCAGAGAAAGTGAGGATGAGTGAGAAAAGGTCAAAACTATATTTCTATAACCACCTGCCCGCGCGGATAGGAGTAACAGTAAAAACCTGCCGTATGAACTGTTAACATCGACCGTCGCATAGCAAAAAAAAAAGTAGTTTATAATTTCGTTGCCTCTGCCTGTGAACATATTTTAAGCAAGCCTCTCTCTCTAAAAAAAAAACAAACAAAAAAAATGTTCTTATAACTAGGCCAGACGCCGGCATGATTTGCGGATCAGCCGACTAGCTAGCCAACAACCTCAGGTCAGCAGTCATGTTAAAATAGTCGAGTCTAATCGCCAATGAATGGAGCGTAGAAGACGCAACCGGTGAGACAGAGTTTTGACTTCGCTATGGACGATTTCAGCGCTTCTCAAATATCTCGTAGAATCTGTCAAGCGAATAGCACGTTGATTACGATTCTATTTCAAAACCAAAAAGCTCTTCAGAGAAAAAAAAAAAATGAAAGAAAAAAAAAACTTCACAGATTCACTAAAGGGGTGCTTTCTAAGCTAGGTACACTGCGAAAAACAACGACGTGCTCCACGAAATGTCGAGAAAATGAAAAATAAAATAAATAATAATGGCAAACTTGACTCTTCGTACCCGCAAAAAACGGACTGTCAAGACGACGGGTTTACATTGACACCGCTATCATTTGAACTACCTTCACTCCTCGACAATGTTTATAATTGTAATAAAACTTAAACATATGAAAGGGAATTTATACGTTTTTTTTTTTTGTTCTTGAAAAATGACGATAAAAATAATAAACACTATTTATTTCTGATACAGTATGACCCGGATATAAGAGAGATTTTCTCTGGTCCCAAATTAGAGCCTGTGTTAATGTATATAAATATAGACCAAACCCTGAACCCGGATATAAGAGACTTCTTCTCTGGTCCCGACAACTCTCTTACATCCGGGTTACAATGTATCGTTTATTGGAATGGCTGACAATGGTAAATAATAAGTATTCCCTTTATAGCTGATTCATATATTTTAATAATTTTGTAAATATTTATAAATTTATGAATAAAAAATTTTCATATTCTTTCTTTTTGAATTGGTAAATCATACATATTGCATTGCATTAGTTTTAATTGTATTAATTTTTAAATTGTAAATATAAAATAATCCTATAAGTAAACACTCTAATAAATAAAACATGTTTACTATATTTTTTTTTCCTGGAAGTGACTAGTTTCTTGAGTCAATATCGTAATATTTATTTCTGTAAAATTAACAGAAAATGTGGCACAAGGCTTAAAAAGGGGTGGGGAAGAACGGTCATCATCTGTCTTAATTTAAAACTTAGCTAGCTACAACCACTGACCCAAACATACAAGCAATAATCCTAGCATCAAAACAACACATTCTTACTTACCTTTCTTACAACATCCACCAAAATACCTCATTGTCTCAATGAAAATCCTAAATAGTCCCCATATGTACAAATTCTCGTCGGGGGGGGGGGGAATAAAAAAAAATTTTAAAAATCACCAATGTGTATATGCAATATGAAATTAAGCTATTTACAAAAACTAAACAAAATTTTGTTAGTAATAAACCCCCACACAAACCTTAAATGTGGCAGAAATATCAGTTAACTGGACGAAATCGAAGCGGGACTATAATAATGTAGAAACATTTATCCATCCCAAGCACTCACACACACACGCACTCATTCTGACGCAACAGTAAATACGAAAAAACGCACACGAAACGAAAGGCATCCCACATCCACCAGAGAACTGACATCACTGACCACCTAACGAGGGAGGGGGGATGGGGAGTTAAGACAATGTCGCAATAGTGTAAATCAGTGGTTCTCACCCCTTTTTCTATTTATTGTGTTATGATTTTCTTTTATGACCCCTCCACCTCTTTAACAAAAGATCATTTTACAATTTCCGGAACCAATAAACAGTTTATATTTCTCCATATAAACTTCAAAATTGATTGTTTCAAAAAAAAAAAAACAGTTAAATGAAACAAACTTTTATTTCGGCATAAACATTCTGCATCTCAAGGATAACAAGATGGGGTATCACTGTTCTGTCCTTCCACTGAACTTGTGTCCGGCAAATACCAATTTTTTTCTCTGGATCCCATAAAAATTTTCAAAGTGGCCATGTGGCTCCCGGTTAAGTACCACTGGTATAATCCTCGTGCCCGGTACCGATAGTACAACCAATATACATACATATATATATATATATATATATATATATATAAAATGGAAGAGTTTATAGTAGTTCTAACGAGAGAAAAGTGTGTATACTAAAAAGAAAAGAGAAACCGCAAACGTTCTTTTAAAAAAAATGTTATGCTTTATTTTCCATAATTTTTCTACACGGGTTTCCGGTCTCGCGACCTTCATCAAGCAAAAGGTGGAGATTTCCACATAAAAATAATAATTTTTTTTCCTATGATTTTCGATGTTAAATATTCTCGATATGAGACATTCTCTTTTTCATGTGTTAGTGACCCAAATGCCTTGAACTGGCAGTGAAAAGTTCTGCGTGAAGGTTTATAAAACAATTAAGATTGGCCCGAAAAATGGTGAAGGAATTATCGGCATTCTTATCTTTTA